TTGATTTTCAATACAACTGTTGTCAAACTATACGTAATTGGTCAGCTTATACTAGACTTATTGCAACAATAAATTTTAGATCAACTGGCTAATTATTATCGGTATAAAATAAATCTTTCAAACCCCTTTTAAACCTAGAGAGGTTTAGTGATTTGAGGTCAGTTGGAAGGGCATTGTAGGCTTGGGGCCCAAAGTAAGAAAAGGCTTTCTTCCCTAATTCCGTTCTGACCCGTGGCAAGTGTAGCAAGCCTTCCTGCCGAGTGAGGCGAACTCTCACCTCAGACCTGAAAACCAGTTTCCTTCTGATGTATTGGGGACACTCCGTTAACAAAGTTTTATGAACAATTAGAACGGTTTGAAGATCACAGCATTGTTTAACTGTCAAGATGTTTGCCCTTGACCTATACTCGCTGATATGATCCGACCTTTTTAAGTTGAAGACAAATCTCAGAGCACTGTTCTGAAGTCTTGTGAGAATATTTATATTCTCTTGAGTAAGGCTGTTACCAAAAGAGGGAAGAGCATAATAAATAGATGGAAGAATTATAGCACGAACTATTTCAAGTTTGGTTGACATTGGTAGAACAAACCTAAACCTATTAAATAATCGTAATTTAGCAACAACAGTTTTACAGATGTGTCTCACATGTTCAGAAAAATTGAGCCTAGAGTCCAATTTGACACCAAGGAATTTTAATGAATCGCTAACAGGCAACGGCTTATCATTTAGAAGAACTTCACAATCAGTATCCTTGTTGTGTTGGCTTTGCACAGAGTAGTTTACGATTCTTAAAACAGAACACTTGTCAGGATTCAGCTGAAGACCATGATCATTAGACCATTTATTAACACTTATCAAGTCGCTATTCATGCGGGTGACTGCTTCAGGAAACTCAGCCAAAGGGTAAGATAAAATAAGGTGCGAGTCGTCGGCGTAAGAATGGACAGAGCAGTGACTAAGCTGTGACTCAAGGTCGGCAGTGTAAATCAGGAAGAGGATAGGACCTAAGCAACTGCCCTGGGGAACCCCCGACACTTTTGGTAAAAAATGTGAAACCTGATCATTAACTCGAGTTTGTTGTGACCTATTACGGATATAGGAATTTTAATGAATCGCTAACATGCAACGGCTTATCATTTAGAAGAACTTCACAATCAGTATCCTTGTTGTGTTGGCTTTGCACAGAGTAGTTTACGATTCTTAAAACAGAACACTTGTCAGGATTCAGCTGAAGACCATGATCATTAGACCATTTATTAACACTTATCAAGTCGCTATTCATGCGGGTGACTGCTTCAGGAAACTCAGCCAAAGGGTAAGATGAAATAAGGTGCGAGTCGTCGGCGTAAGAATGGACAGAGCAGTGACTAAGCTGTGACTCAAGGTCGGCAGTGTAAATCAGGAAGAGGATAGGACCTAAGCAACTGCCCTGGGGAACCCCCGACACTTTTGGTAAAAAATGTGAAACCTGATCATTAACTCGAGTTTGTTGTGACCTATTACGGATATAGGAGGAAAACCACTGCACAGATCGACTATCAAATTGGTAAAAACTCAGTTTGGCTAACAGAAGATCGAAACTAACTGAATCGAATGCCTCGATCCTGTCAAATACTATGTTGCGACTAAAATTTAACTTTAAGATGTTTAAGTTCTTTAAGATGTTGAGGGGATACTTTTTTGTTGCTTTTAGATGTAATAGCTTTCAGCATAACATTCAAGCAGAATTCATTAGGGAGCCTTTGGTACATTTATGTAAAATATCTATAGGCTATCACTACAGCTGCTTACGTTGTTGTTTTCATTCGAATGTTGCGTTCGCAATTTAGGCTTGGATAGATGTTTATTAAACCTTCTCTTTAATGAACGACCTGTTTGTCCGATATACATTTTTAGACAGTCACTGCAGGATAATTTGTGCACTTCTGTGTCCTATAGGCTATTTGAAACTGTGTAGATTTTGAAATGTGGCTTTCTAATTTATTTGAAGTTTTGCAGGCCAATCTTATGTTATGTTTCTTCAGCTAGTTTTTAAGGTATTATGCAAGCAGTGTCCATATTCTATAACAATAAAGTTATGATGATTTTTTAGGTGGTTCTTTTGTTTGTGTATGATTTTGTCGACAATACTGTATTGTTACCGTTATTTACGGCTATACATTTTAACATTTCTTATTTAATGTTGTAGTTTCTTTGAGACATGGGTAGTGTTAGAAGTCAATTAACGAAGCTGTTTTAAGCGGCCATCTTGTGTGATTGTGGATGATTGGAGTTTTCATGGATTGTATGGTCTGTGGTTGTAGGCTTTTTATAGATTGTTTAGTCATTACTATTGTTATATTTGGTAAAAGTTAGGTTCAGAAAGTTTAATCGAATTATTATTCTCGATTTCGAGAGTGAATTTCATTTTCTGTGTAATGCTGTTCAAATGATTGATGATAAGTTGCAGCTGTCTAGAGTTTTCATTATAAAAGCAAAAGAGTGTATGTTCAATATTAATTAGGTAATATTTATAATTATTCAAGATTCACTTGGATTTGAAATAAGACACCATGCTTAAGCATTGAAGTAGTTTACTACATCATCTTGAGATCCGTCTGACATGTGTTGAGTTACAATAATAGTAAACCGGACACCACAGCCTTAAGTATATCATAGAGCCCTTTAATAACATATTATAAAGTTATTATATAGGCTATACTATTATGTAACATCCTCCTTTTTTTAATCAAAATGATTTAAATCGATCTAAAGACAAATTTTGATTAAGCAAATGAACAGACAGACTTAAACATATTCCTTCCAAAATGATTTGGCTTTATGATGGTTCGACCGAATATAGTAGTTTGGTTTGTTACTGGCCTATTAGGTAAAATATTAGGTACCGGTACCGGTACTGGTATGTTAACATTATTCTCAAATTCATTCTGATTAGGTCTTTCAATATTTTCTAACCCAAAATTAGCTTGTGCGATTAGATCAGAATAATCAGACTGAATAACCTTAGAGTAACACTTTCTTAAGGGGATCCGCCACTACGTTGACCCTCTTTTATTTCTTGGTTTTAACCCTTGCTATATTCTTTTTATGTTTAATGCAACTAAAAAAGAGGTTTTGGGTGGTCAGACATTTTTTTACCTTTTTGGGTATTTTTAAACCCCTAAAATTCGATTTTTTTTAACGTTTTTTGAGGTATGTTAATGTTTGAAGAACTTTTTTGTTTCTTAACCAATTTGAACAATTTTTTTTGTAGCCTAAAAACAACTCTACAAAAAAACTAACTTTTTGGGTTTTAACATTAATGTACTGCTTAAAAAAAATGTTATAACGTTTTTAGTAAAAAAAAAAAAAAAATACATATATAATATTTTTTTAATTTAAAATTTTTTAAACTAGAGTAATATTGATACCCAAAAATCTTCTAAATATAACTAAGATTAAGTGGTAAAAATTTCAAAAGCTATGTTTAATACTTTAGATTTTATTCAAACATTTGTCTATAGCTTACATGAAAAAGTCAACTTTCGGGGAGAAGCGTTTTAGTTTGACACTGTAAAAAAGTCTGTTGTTTTGACACTAAAACTGACCAGCACCATAGATATCACCTTCTTCTGCTAACTTTTTCTCTTCTTCTGCAAGCTGAGCACTTGTCACTAACTTCCTGTAGCGATTGAACTTTTCCGTTGACCACATCTTTCGCAGTCGTAGCCGTTGCTAATCTTTCTTCGCAGCGTAGCGCACGGTGTGTGACCCAGGGGACGTTCCTGATTTCTAAAGGAAGTTAGCAATGGTAATGAGGTGACCTTCATTGTATATACAAATTCCTTCTTCAACACCAGCTTTAACCTTTCTTTGGGATACAAAGGTTAGGTTAGGTTATACCTTAGGGCATTTGCTCCATATGAGTCCGTGAAGGGCCTCATTAGCGTTTTGCGTTTGGCCTGAAGAGCATTTTTGGAGTAGTTGTTCGGTAGAAAGGCGATTGTATAGCGGCAAAATATAGTGTTACACAGTTTGGTTTATTGGTGTTTTTATATGCTCTGAATGTGTTCTTGGCACCTCATTGTTGGCTAAATCTCTCTGGTAAAAACACCAACTATCACTGCCGGACGGACACTAGTCGTGTCTTGGGATCACATCGGTTGATCTACAGTGATCCAGTGTTGCAAAAATTGCATTCCTCATTTTGGTAGTGTCCTCTAAGTTATCTTCTCGACGACCTCTCTGGACACATCTTTGAACTGGACCCCTCCTTGGGCTGCAAGCTGCGGACTGGACTGTGAACTTGTGGCTTCTTGGAATAGGGCACTTATAAAAATATCTTCCATGTCCTCTAGCCCTAGCTTAGATTCATGTACAGTTTTATTATGATTTGGCTTACTTTTATTGGCACTTCTTTGACAACCAAAGGCATAATGATTCTTAAGTCCACAATTTTTACACGTTCTTCCGTACACTGGACAGTTAGCCTTTGTATGTTCAGTTCCACACTTATAACAGTTGTATGTTTGAGCTGTCTTTTTATCTTCACGTACTGTAGAAGACTGGTAGCTTTGTTTTTCATTAGGCCTAGTATTACTAGCTTTGTTATTCTGAGAACTAAAACTTCTTCCATTATTGTACGACTTAGGTCTCGTATTATTGATTGCATGTAAGCCTATGTTACTCAGACCTACCTTACCTTGCATTACTTGCGCTTGCTGTTTACTCAGTTCAGCGGTTCGACACTGATTTAAAGCTTTAGTCAAGGTTAGGTCACTTTCTCGTAAAAGTACTTCTTGAAGCTGTTTATCCACTATACCAATCACTACACGATCACGAATTAGACTCTCCTCGTCTTCTTTGAACTCACACGGCTTTGCTAGACTCTTTAGAGCAGTTACAAAATGTCCAATTAATTCATTTTCTTGCTGAATTCTTGAAAAAAATTTATACCTGTTATAGACAACATTCTTTTTGGGCATGAAATAATTATCATTTACCTTTTGCAGTGTATCAGCTTTTTCAGGTTAAAATGTGTTGTACATTTCTATCCCTTCATCACCTATGCAATTTAACAGCATAGCTATTTTGACCTTGTCTTCTTTGCTTTCATTTTTTGAAATTTTGAAAGTTTTTGAAATTTTGTTTAAATAATGTCCAATTGTTAGCAACATTGTCGTCAATCACTAAACCACGCGGCGGCTTGAAATCCATGTTAGGTTAGTTTCTAATTCATTACTTCTATTTCTATAACAATGTCTTTCACATCGATGCTATGTAGATAAAAAATAACACTTGACTCCATACCTACACCATGTTCAATATTACTTAGGTAATATTTATAATTAATCAAGATTCATTTGGATTTAAAATAAGACACCATGCTTAAACATTGAAGTAGTTTATTACATCATCTTGAGTTCCGTCTGACATGTGTTGAGTTACAAAAAAATAGTAAACTGGACACCACAGCCTTAAGTATATCATAGAGTCCTTTAACAACATAGGTACTATACAGGGTGAATAAAAAGTCAAGACCCCCCCCCCCTCTAATATTTTTCCAAGTAAATATACAGAGATATCCTTTTGGTGGTTGAGTAATCTTAGCAAGGAGTTTCATTTTATCATTATAAAATTTTTGAGTGTCCCCCGAAAAGGGGGGATTTGGGGGGCAACTCAAATTTTTTAAATGTAAACCCCCTTCAAGTGACACCTCATTTTGAAGTGTTTACAAAAACTTAAAGAATGGTGAAAACTAGAGGTCACTATCTCTTCTCTATCCAAAATGGTAGCCCGTCAAATGTTGTGGAAAATCAATTGTAAAATTGTTAATATTGGCTGCCATTTTGGATAGAGAAGAGATAGCGAGCTCTGGTTTTCCCAATTCTTTCACTTCAAAATGAGGTGTCACTTGATAAGGGTTTCTTTTGAAACATTTTTAGTTGTCCCCCGAATCCCCCCTTGGGGACAGTTACATGGCGCAGTTCTCTAAATTAACATACGGAAATATTTAAATGATTTATTGCAATGGGGAATGATCTTGAAGAAAAACCTAAAGAGGAAAAGGTAAAACTGCTACAAAATGCTTTTGTACGTATGCCCTCCGACCTGCAGTGGACAGGTAACATGTCTGATAATTGGAAATTTTTTAAACAAAAGTTTGGTATCTATCTTAAAGCTTCTAAGAACAATCTAGAGGATTCAGAATATCAAGTATCACTTTTACTCAGTGTCATAGGTGATAGGGCTCTTAAGGTTTTTAACAATTTTGTTTTTTCACCAGAAACTGACAGGAATAGTTTTGAAAAAGTATTAAAACAATTTGATGACTATTTTATGCCTGAGAAAAATGTAACATATGAAAGGCATAAATTCTTTCTTAGACACCAACGGGACGGAGAGACTATTGACAATTATGTCACAGAATTAAGAGACCTTAGTTCAAGTTGTGAGTTTAGTTCACTCAATGATAGCCTTATCAAGGATCAAATAATCCTAGGTATAAAAGACACTGTCTTAAAGGATCGACTCCTAAGAATCAAGGATCTTGATTTAGTTAAAGCACTTGAAGTTTGTAGGGCCTATGAGCAAAGTAAAGTTCAACTTGCTGGTATTTGTAACAACGCTGAAAATATAGGCCTAGAAGTTAACAAGATTAAAGTTAAAAATAAGACATCTAGTCGCAATCAACAACATTCTAAAAATGCTCCTGCATTTACATCCAACTCGACTCCTAATGGTGACGGCAACCGAGGTAGGCCTAACAACGCTGCGAGCGGCTGGAATCGATTTAAGAAGACATCCCAAGGTAAAAGATTTAATTCACCCTGTTCAAAATGTGGCTACTTCCACAAACTTGGTCAGTGTTCAGCCTACGGCAAAAAGTGTTCACAATGTCACAAAATAGGGCATTATGCCTCTCAGTGTTTTAGTAAAGGTGTGCATGCAGTCGACGAGAATGAAACTGAACTAGTTTTAGGTTGTATAAATGCTATCGACCAGAAGAAGCCTAGTAATGACGACAAAGAATGGTTAGTAGACCTAACTCTCAATGATTTTGTTAACGCTAGATTTAAGATTGATAGTGGTGCACAGGCTAATCTCATAAACATTGATGTAGTTGAAATGTTAGGTATTGATACACATAATTTAATACCTACTGGTACTAGTCTCACCTCTTGTACAGGTCAAAAGCTTAACATATTAGGTAAGTGCACACTCAAATGTAATTACAAAGGTAATAATCATGATGTACAGTTTTTTGTCACTAAAGGTAAATGTCCTTGTCTTTTAGGCCTCCAAGCGAGTACAAAGCTCGACCTTATTCGAAGAGTGGATCAATTAGGCTCAAGTCATGTAGTGATAATGTAAATAGTGTAAATAGTAACTCAATTTTTAAAGAATTTTCGGATGTATTTGAAGGCATAGGTTGTCTTAAAGGTGAATATACTATTGTATTGAAGGACAATGTTAGTCCTACGATACATCCACTGCGCAAAGTTCCATTGGCCTTGCAGGCCAAGCTCAAAGCTAAGCTAACTCAACTAGAAAAATCTGGTATTGTTTGTAAGGTAGATTATCCTACTGATTGGGTAAATTCTTTGACAATTGTACATAAAAAAAATTGTGATTTACGATTGTGTCTCGACCCTAAAGATATAAATGCAGCAATCAAAAGGCAACATTTTCAAATGCCAACGTTTGAAGATATTAGTTCTAGGCTCTCAGGAGCTACGGTTTTTAGCATATTGGATACAAAAGATGCTTTTTACATGTTAAGTTGTGCAAACCAAGTTCTGATCTTTGTGTATTTAATACACCCTTTGGACGGTACAAATTTTTGAGGTTACCTTATGGTTTAAATGTATCAAGTGAGGTATTTCAGGAAAAAATGTCTTTCCTCTTACAGGACTTGGAAGGAGTAAGTGTATATGTCGATGACATTCTGGTGTATGGTTCTGATCGTAAACAGCACGATCAGCGCCTGAGAGATGTTCTTTTGAAACTCAGGGCTGAAAATGTAAAATTAAAGTAAGTGTAAATTTGCAATTACTGAGTTAAATTATCTTGGTCACAAGATAAGTAAGGCTGGTATTACCCCTGATGATGAGAAAGTTAAAGCCATAACTTTGATGCCAGCACCCACAGACAAGAAAGAACTTGAAAGGTTTCTGGGATTGGTTAACTATGTAGGCAAATTTCTACCCAATCTCTCAGATGTCACACTGCCATTGCGCGGTCTAATTAAAAAAGATTCTGATTTTAATTTGGTCTCCAGAACATGAGAAGGCTTTTAATGATTTAAAGTCGTCAGTATCTAGCAGTCCTATTTTACAGTTTTTTGACATAAACAAACCTATTGTCATCTCTATGGATGCTCTTATGGCCTAGGTGCATCAATTTTGCAAAATGATCTCCCAGTGGCATACGCCTCTAAAGCGTTAAGTGATGTGCAACAATCGTATAGTCAAATTGAAAAAGAGATGCTCGCTGTACTTTTTGGTTGTGAAAAGTTCTACCAGTATGTATATGGTAAACATTTTGTGGTTGAAACCGACCATAAGCCATTGATCTCTATTGTTAAGAAAAACCTTGTTAATTGTCCTCCTCGCTTACAGCGAATGTTACTTAGGCTACAAAAATTTGACTTAACTTTGATCTATAAGAAAGGTGAGTTGATGTATGTATTGGACACCTTATCAAGGTCATGTCTAATGTCAACAAAATCGGATGATTTGTGCGTGGACGAAAGCATTGAAGCTCAGGTATGTGCTGTAATCAATAGTATTAATATTTCTGATGTCAAACTGTGTAAGCTTTCTCAACTAACTGATTCAGATGTAGAGTTGAAACATCTTAAACATTTTTTGTTAAGTAAATGGCCTCAAAACAAAAAAATCTTCCTGAGGTTATAAGACAATATTGGAGTGTTAAAGACAGTTTGTCTTACTGTAAATCTAAGAATTTGATTTTGAAAGACAATACAATAGTAATTCCAAAATGTTTGAGAAAGGAAATGCTTTTTAGATTACACCTAACTCATCTTGGCGTAAATAAGACCTTGTTGAAAGCAAAAGACTGTGTGTATTGGCCAAATATGTATTCACAGATTGTAAATATGGTAAATACTTGTGAAACATGTCTGACTTACTCTAACAGTAATCGTAAGGAACCATTAATGCAACATTCTATTCCAGATGTTCCATGGGACAAGATAGGTATTGATCTATTTCAGTTAAATCAAAAGATGTATCTACTGATCGTAGACTATTTTTCAAAATATCCAGAGGTGATCCACCTGCCTAGCACTACTTCTGATTATGTAATAAATGTATTGAAACAAGTATTCAGCCGGCATGGGATACCTGAGGAAGTTATCACAGGTAACGATGTACAGTTTATTTCACATTCGTTTGAAGAATTTTCTTGTAGCTGGAATTTTAAACACACAAGAACCAGCCCTTACTTTTCACAATCTAATGGTATGGTTGAGCGTAACGTACAAACAATAAAGAATTTGTTAAAAAAGTCAAGCCTAGAGGGTACCGACCCCTACTTAATTTTGCTAGAGTATCGGAATACTCCAATCAGCTCAGGCCTCCCATCACCAGCTGAAATCTTGTTCAGCAGGAAAATAAGAGGTATTTTTCCACTCAGAACTTGTCAATTGAAACCAAGAATCACAAAGAATGTGAAACATAACCTATCTCTTAGACAGAAACAGCAAAAATTCTATTATGATAGGAAAACACGCCCTATGCGTAATCTTGCTAACAATGAAAGTGTGTTTGTACGTAAATCGAATTGTTCCTCTTGGGAAAAAGGTAAAATACAAAAATCAAATGTTAGTCCTAGGTCCTACTATGTTAATACTGAAAATGGTAAGACATATGTTCGTAACAGGTTTCATTTGAAACCAGTGCACAAAAAACAAGGTAATCTTGTCAATGACTCTAATTGTAATGTATCATTTGAATATGATGAAGGTTATGACACAAAAGTTAGTAGGCCTAGCCCATGTAAATCCCCAAGAAGAACACCAAAGAAAGATGATTGTGTCCTAAAAACCCCACCAACCGTTGTACCAGTGCCTACCCCCACCATCATGTAAGTCCCGGGAGTAGGCCCTATACAACTAGGTTTGGCAGAAATGTTAATAGGCCAATCAAAATGAACTTGTAATTTCATGTGTACTGTATTCCCTTCACAGTGAATTTGTATTTTTTAGTTATCCTTTTATTATTCTCTTATGTAGGCCTAATGATGATTTGTTTTTCTCGTGCTATCTGAAATGCTTTATGGAAAACAGATTTCGAAGTGTATTTTATTCAAGCAGTAATTCCAGTTAAGGTATTGAGTTTGTTTTATAAGCCAATGTTTGTTAATAAGGCAAATGTATAAAAAAATGGAGGTAAGCCATAAAGAAAAATTGTCAATTTAAATTTTGTTTTATTATTAGCTGATTTAGCATTGAATATTCCAAGAATACATTTACATTTTTAATTAGCCCAATGTAACTTATCACCCATTTTATATGTCATTATGAATTCCTGAACTTGTAACTTCACTTTGTATTTTATGTAACGTCACTTTGTATTTATGTAAGCTCATTTATCATTCACTTTGTATTTCATTATCAATGTCTCAACTTGTAATATCACTTTGTATTTCATGAAAGCTTTCCTTCATCATTTATTGTATCTCATATCAGTGACTCTTTTGTATTTTTGTTAGGTTAAGTTATATTATGTTCTTATGTCTGATCAGCCACCAACTGCTGAATAACTTGTTTGTCATTTTTATATTTCATAACTTGTTTGTCATTTTTATATGTTAATTCATCTGAAATTTTTCTTGAATATTCTGTGTTAAATTAAATATCTTTTGTAAAGAAGGGAGATGTCATATAGTTATATAATATTGTCACACCACTTATGTAAATCCTCTATGCTCATGATGATGTCACCAAGTCGGTGACCCCAATCAGTCTAACTATTAAAGATGGCTTACTCCAAACTAGTTGTGGTTATTAATTATCCATGAAGACTAATATTATTGATAAATGCTAGTACTAACGCCTTTACAGGAACTCAAAAATTTTAAATGTAAACCCCCTTCAAGTGACACATCATTCTGAATTGTTTACAAAAACTTAAAGAATGGTGAAAACCAGAGCTCACTATCTCTTCTCTATCCAAAATGGCAGCCAAAATTAACAATTTTACCGTTGATTTTCCACAACATTTGACGGACTACAGGGGGTTTACATTTAAAATATTTGAGTTGCCCCCCAAATCTCCCCTTTTGGGGGGACACTCAAAAATTTCAAAATGATAAAATGAAACTTTCTGCTAAGATTGCTCAACCGCCAAAAGGATATCTCTGTATATTTACTTGGAAAAATAATAGAGGGGGGAGGGTCTTGACTTTTTATTCACCCTGTATAAAGTTAATATATAGGCTATACTATTATGTAACAGTGTAATCAACGTATCGTTTGTAAAATATGATTTTCTTGGAATATTTGTTGCTGGAGGAGAGAATATTTTAGTTTTGGTGTTGAAGAGTTCTCGTTGGTGTTCAGTGTAAGTGTATTGTGATGTGTAGTGTAGTGAGTAAGTGAGTCACCTTTTAACAATCAGCGCTTCTCTTTGCAATCGTCGTCAGTCTTGTTCAGTTTGTATCTTTGATTTTTGTTATAATAATTTTCTAATATAATATAGATCGGATAGTTCGTTATTTTCAAAATAACCACTTAGCCTATAAATTGAGACGCTGATTTGGTAGGCCCAACAACTAAAAAATAAAAGTTAACTAAACTTAGGCCTAGTTGATTCGGAACTAGGCATTGCCTTTTACTTTCTCCTCCTATACCATAGTATATGGAGAAAGTATTGTTTTCGTCAAAATTTGCGAGTTTGAATTTTGAGTGGGGACCCAAAAAGTGGTATTTGAAGTCATGTCTGTGTGTCTGGATGTGTAGCTAGGGACTACACCTGTGGTCCGATTTCGAAGAAATTTTGTATATAGGTTCTAATCCGTGGTATCTCCAGGCGTTTTTAATTTTTTTTTTTTTATTTTGATTTTTAATGGGGATTTTCCCATAAAACCCCGGAAAAATAGGATTTTCTCAAAAATGTCCCGAACAATTTTGATAACCATTTAGTATGTTGTAGCCCTTTAAATTATGAACAAAATGGTACGAATCCCATTTCTGTAAAAATTACGGTTCAAAAGTTGTTGTAAATTATGTAATTTTCCCATAATAACCCCATAAAACAACGAAAAATAGGATTTTAGAAAAAATCCGGTTCTGTTTTAACATAGTATGTTATGGTCCTTACAATATTGATAGCTTTTTTCTTTTTTTTAATAGGCAACAATTTTAAAGAAGTATTGTGGTGGGGAATAACGCAAACAAAAGAGAGAGAAAGAATGTGCAAAACTAAATAAACTGATGAAAACACCGAAGCTATCGTGTTATTTAAAAAAATAAATGAGTCGTCAGATAAACAGTGTTCTAGAGACAGTAAATACATAACACAGACTGAAACATCCGCTACTCCTTTTGTTCCCACAGTTCCCAGTACCAGCTCAGAGTGTGAATCTGTGGCTGTGAAATATAACATATACGGATCATTAAACCTGAGCATTCAGGCTCAAGTTACTACAACTACAAAAGCTATTTTTCAATAGCAATATTGGCCATCGCAGACAGTGATTATAAGTTCGTTTACGTAGATATTGGCTCATTGGGTAAAGACGCTGACCCAACAATATTTGAAGGCTCGACTTTCGGAAAGGCATTCCATCATGGAACGCTGAACATTCCCGTTACTGAAAAAATATCACCTAGCATCAACCCCCTTCCCTACGTACTAGTTGGAGATTAAGCGTTTGGTATTCATGTTAATCTAATGCATCCTTTCCCAGGACGTAGTTTGGCACGAGAGACGAGGATTTTTAACTACCGACTGTCATCAGCCCACAGATATGTAGAATGCACATTTGGACTGCTAACAAATAAGTGGAGAATATTACACAGACCAATAAATCTTAAGGTATGCAATGCTCAGACAGTTTTAAAGCAGCTTGTGCACTCCACAACTACGTGCGAGAAAGAGACGGCTATAGGTTCGAAGATACCCTGGAAGTGACTGGGCTCCATGAAATCCAGCCTGAAGAAAGCCAGCGTTTGCCACGTGGCGTGAAGACGGCATATGTCTACAGAAACAATTTCGTAACTTACTTCAATAGTCCTGAGGGTAGAGTACCATGGCAGGATGACAAAGTTTAGCTGTTCAGTAGTATTGTAAGAAACAAGTTTGGTTTGTTGTGAAGTGTGTCGATAAGTATATATTGTATGTTATTGTTTATTTATTTCCCATAAAAACGAGTTAAGCAAAAACAAAATTTGAAACATTTAGCATATCTTGAAATTTCAATAAGCTAACTCATCATTTTTTACTATAATTTGAAGTTCATTGTTTCATTGTAATCTCCCTTAAGTAAAAACAAATCTCTTTTCCTATATATGCAATACATACAAGTGTATTGAGTCTTTAGTTTAATGTAAATTCAATCATTAAATGTTTTGAGCATTATTTAAAAACTCCTGACAAAAAAAATTGACTCAAAAGTTGACATAAAATAGGTTTTCCTCCTTAAATTGTACTATACATCAATTAGGGAGTGATCTTAGGAATGATGAAATGGGGAATATCTGGGACCAAGAGTTTGTTACGTTATGTCGTTTTTGCAGCGATCTGTATTGTTAATATACATTTAAAAAGGGGTTACAACTAGGCACCATGGTTGTACCAGAATCACTTAGAGGTTTCAGAAAAACACCTGCCTTATTCCATAATTTGTCAACAAACTGTTTATAATCAAGAAATAAACATTATTTGAAGAAAATATGGGACTAAATCAACTCATTATTATCACAAATGAATCATACTGTAGGACAATTACAGTTAATGTAACTTCCAAACAGAGGGTTGACAATATTTCAAAATTAAAAAAAAAATTACTGGCATCTTAGTTGTAATGATGCTTATCCTTCAACCAGGCAGTTACAACATTAAGTACTGGCATCTTCGTCAGAGCTTGTGCAGGGAATTTCCACTTCTTGGGAGTAATTCCCTACATTTTCTGTAATAATGTATACTAGTGGTCGTCCAGTGGTCGAAAACTCGACCACAATCATGTAATGTACACGAATTGACTATTGGATACTGAAGTAGACATTCCATCTATATAGACCAGCTGTCGCCATTTTTTTAAATTAAAAAACATGTGGTTGTGTGAGCAAGTCAACGAATGTGGGTCTTAAATTGTATTGTCTTTTTTTTTTATTGCTGACAAAGTTAATAGGTCATAACAGTTGCTATAGCTCATAATAAGTCATTCAAAAAGTTTGACTTGACTTGGTAAAAAACATTGTGTGTTCGACAGAAATTAATCATTTAGATCAGCGCAATCTGTTGGTGGCTCACATCAACTACGACGAATTTAATTACAAAACTGGTGACAACTTTAACATGGGGATGGAATGTAGAGGTAGAACAGGCTTCTCTATTTTCACCCCACGCTGTAAATAAAACATGTGATTGGAATTTCTTCAATTTATTTTGATTTTCTGTTTATATTTCGTTGTTATTTCGTCACCAGCATGGCAACCCATAAAGCCCATGTTAATTTTCATTAAATTCCAAATTCATTTTTTGTGCTTATATTTAAGCCTATTTTTGTTTTCAAAGGGATTCTGCACTTCTACATGAAAATATCTTTCTAACGGTATGCGTAGATTTTCTCTGTGATGCACATGAGCTGAGAAAAATGGTTTTAAAGAAACATGCTTGCCTATTAATATATAGATTGGAGACGTTTGTGACGATTCATTTGTGTTGGGAGCTACGGCTACTCCCAGTAAAGAAGCAAGACGCTTATTTGTTAATATTGTGTTAATCTCTCCAATAGCGGTTATAGAATGTTCAGCTGTCAACTGCTTCAATTGAGAAGCAATATGCTTTCCGAATACATCGAATTTATTATCTACAGAAGGCTTGTTATTATCTGATTTTGAAATATTTTGGCTGAGTTGCTTTAATTCTGGGGCAGTAGCAGCAATTTGCTGTATTTTGGACCGGTTCCGAACCTTTTTAGGGATAACGTCCTGTTGCTTATCCAGTGGCGGTCGATTTACTTTAGTACTTGAAACTTCTAGGGGTTCTTCATTTGTAACATTGTCAATGAGTGACTCTTCTAAATCCTCTTCTTCTCCGATATCTAGCGTTGCGTCTATAGTTGTAGAATCTTGGTCTTCATTTATTGTTGTTTCGTTCATAGCTTGTTTCTTGCATGGAATTATTTTTGGCGACTCCTGAAATAGACGATTAGTGTAAGCAGTATTGTTATTTTTATTGTTATTTTAAATTAATATAGGCATATTAAATTCATATATCTGTTACAGGCGCCTACAACTGTGGAAGAATGGAAACACATAGAAAATGGTTTCAGGAACAGATGGCATTTCCCAGGCTGCTACAGTGCTATAGATGGAAAGCACATAAATATCAGAGCACCTGAAAACTGTGGCAGCACATTTTTCAACTATAAAAAGTCGCACAGCATCATTCTTATGGATTTTAGTAGATCACGACTACAATTAATTTCACATACGTTGAAGTTGGAAGTAACGGCTCTGGATCTGACGGCAGAGTGTTTGGCCAAAGTTCTCTACTCGAAGCTTTGCAAAATGGGCGTCTTCCACCGGACGGCGTTATTGTCGGAGATGACGCATTTCCGTTAAAAGAGTTCCTGATGAAACCGTATCCGGGATCTTTGCTTTTCTTCGAAGAAAAGGTTTTCAACTACAGACTGTCCAACGCCCGTCACATTGTTGAAAATGCTTTTGGTATGTTGGTTAGCAGATTTCGAGTGTTTGAGAAACCTCTTCCTTTGCAACCCGAAACTATTGACAAAGTAGTTTTAGCTGCTTGTGCTCTCCATAACTACTTGAGGAAACAATCAGCACACACATATTTTGTTAGAGGTTCTGTAGACTACGATGACTTCAATCTAGGACAAGTTATTGAGGGCTCTTGGCGAGAAGAAACTGCAGGTCTTACAAGCGTTTCTCGTGTAGGCCCCCAACAACAAACCAAAAAGGCGAAACAAAAACGTAAGGTGTACAAACACTACTTTCTTAATGAGGGTGCTGTCGAATGGCAAAACAAGATGATTAATTAATCATCCAACGTGCATGCGAAGATGGTACATTAAAACTCTCATTTCACGACTAGAGTACGTGCTTTTGTGATAGTTATATTATTATTATTACACATTTATGCCGTTTATTTTATGTTGAGACAATATGGTTTTAATAATATTAACAATGAACAATTATTGAAAATATAACAAGATTGAGTTTGGAATTTAAATAAGGACTATAATTATAAACATTGGATTTTGAGTCATTACAAGTCTTAAATAATTCGTCAAAGTAATGACTTATTTTAGCTAAGGATTACTTATTTAGAATAGTGGATTATCCTCTTTAACTTAAAACAATTTTCAAAATAAAAATTATTTAATTTTAAATAAAAGGCCAAGTCTCATTTTAAATTTGTCAGATTTTATTTAGTGAATATTGAAATTAAAGCCATACATTTACTGAGTAGTTTGAGACCAGAAACAACTTGGTACGTTGTAACCTGATTACAAGTAGGCCTAGGCCTATTAGCACTTGTGTCAGAGCTAGACCCTAGCCCTACTTCATTGTTTTGAAGAGAGTTTACTCTTTTTATCAAGTTTAGCTCAACAGAATCTGAAAGACCTAAAATACATGGAGCTTTAGCTTTTACAACAAAAAATTCTAAGAAGTGAGTTTCATTCTTATGAACTACATTCAAAGTGCATTTACCTGTTACATTTAACCTCTAACCTGTATAGGAGGTTAGGTGCACATCAGTGTCGCCTAGGTTGACATCTGTACCAAGAGAATTGAACACATTTTGATTAATTACATTAATTTCGGCACCTGTATCAATTTTAAAACTTCATGTATCATGTATAAAACTTCTTTCTTGGAAGGAAATGAGGTAACAGTGAACTTGAGGTTTACCTCAGCTTCTAAGAAAGGAAGGAAATCAGAGAAGTCAAAGAAGAGGGACGAAGAAGCCGACATTCCAATATGGAGATTGATCAAACCTAAAATCTCTAATTCTAAGGTAGCCCTGCCGGAAGATAAAGTAAAAGACATTAAATCAATGTTCAAATTCATGCCCTTACAAGACCGTGAGTTTTGCTCAGTTATCTTAAGACTATAGGACTGTTGGAGAGCGCAGGCTTAAGAAACTTTTTTTACCCCTTGTATGATAAATTTATAAAACTCATTTCATAAAATTATTCCAGCATTATTATTTTACAAACCCCTTGCTAATACTGCTCTAGTTCATGGTATCTGCTACTTCTTTATGTTTTTTACTCCCTAGAAACTAATCTAACTAATGATTAAAATTGGTATGAAAAGGTTCCAACTTCTACTTGAAACCTTGTCGTTTATAAAATATAGAGTATATAAAGTGACAAGGTTCCAACCGAATTTTTTTTCTCTCATAAATTTGTTGCTATGCAACTAAATTTAATGAAAATTAGTCCCAAAGTTCTCAAATACCATAGTAACAACCCTATTAACACGTTCACTGCTAATGACGCACTTGTGCGTCATAAGTATATTAGCAGATATATAATACATGATGTATATAATTACATAATATATTTTAATCCACAATTTATAGTATAAAATTTATTTAATTAAAGATATATTGTCACTCAATTAACCTGATCATGTTAATGTTTATGTTTTTTAGCCATTTATAAAAGTATT